GACTTTGAATTGTCATTAAGACATTGGAAGTTTCCCTTTGAATATTCCTTAAATTTTATAAATACCTTTGAGTATTTTAAAAGTCTCATCAAAATGATAACAATATTTATAATTTGAATTTTTTTTGCAACTTCTCTTGTATATTTAACTCTCTAACAGCATTTTGTATTTACAATTTATAATAATGAATTATTTCTTTTTCAAAGTAGAAGTTACTAGCTTTAGATTTGCTTTTAAGTTCTATATAGTCTTTATGACTAATATCACAATATGCATTTTTTATACAATTTGTGTTTCAATATTTATTCATGAAATGATAAAATTCACACTCATATTCATGTTCTATTTTAAAATAAACAAGCTTATTGCACAAATAACATATTGCTATACTTATACCTATAGTATGACTGAGATCATCTTCATATAAATATATTATCTTTCTCACAATTAGATATTATTTTTTATTATTAGTCAAGCGATTATTATTTTTATAGCTCATCAATTAATTTTAGATTCATTTCTTTCAATCAGATAGAGTTTTTCCATCACGAATTACAAGGAATTGATAATTATCTTTCCATTTAATATCACTTAAAACTGAATATTTATCTATATAGATCATATTTAATAATTAAATAATTTATAATGTTTTTAAAAATTATGTGATTTATAAAGATTTTAAACCTATTAGATTTAATTTGATATAGATACTTAAAACTGAATTCATTTTTTGTGTAAATTGAGTTATATATATTTGTCATATTTTGCAAGTGATATATGTGATGAGAATGGAAGAGATACATATTGAATTGTAACAAGAATTATAATTTTAGAGTTAATTCTAAAGAATTTATTTGTAATGATATTTATATATAAATTGCTTATATACTGTAAATATAGTATAATTTATTTTTGACATGTGAAATTTATTTTGGATGTGTGAATCTATATTTGAAATAATTATTGCATAATCTATTTTGGATGTGAAATCTATTACAAGTATATGATTTAATTTTTTGGATGACCTGCTAATTGTTACTATGATCAAATTTCTGATTGCATAATATATATATATATTTGATCAATATATTATATAATATAAAACTATTTTTTCTATAAAAAAAATGTTCATTCAAAAAAATTTTTGCTGAAAAGTAATATGATATATGTATTATATAACTAAATACATTTTTCATATATACTCATACTGATAAAATTTTACTTTTTTCTTGTGTTTTATTCACAATTTATTAATAATATTCTATAAAAAATATAATACATAATTTGAAATATTCATCAAATCGTCTGGTTACTCAAGAAGATAAAAAGCTAAAACTACATATGATTTTTGATTATTAATAACCTGAGTTTCAGTAGAATATTCTTTGATTAAGATTGCTTGTCAAAATCTCTTAGTGATCATCAAAATTCTATCAAAATTATGATAAACTATTAGTAAATAATCTGTCAAAATTCTGACAAATTTTGAAACCTGTCATAATTGAAATTATATCAAAATTCTAATTAATAATTAGTATGTAATTCATCAAAATTATGATGATATTTTTCTGAAAGAATTCTTATTTCTAATTAGGTCTCAATGCACTACAAATTTTATAAATGAATCATATTAGTGCTGATCTGGAATTGCTGATCACAAGCTAGCTAAATTTTGATTTCTAATTTATTAGTTGATAATTAGTTCATTAATCATAATATTTTGTTCAATATAAATATTATTTTGTATTCAAATTTATAATAAAACTATAAATTAATAAACTAATATTATAATCATATAGAATAAATCAAATATAATTTGTATTAAGAAAAGGTATACTCATAAGATGTGCAAGAAATTAAGCTAATTTATCTTTGTTTTACAAGCTACTGATATAAAAATATGCATTATCTCAGTGAATTGATCCTAAGATACAAAGTAATTCATATCATAATTTTTTTACAATGCAAAATTCATGTAATTTCAAGTCAGTACTATAATCTATAACTGCAAAATCTCTTCTAAAGAAAAATACTTCACATCTTAACCTACTGGCTTCGTTATTACTCAATAAAATCAAATTACAAATTGTACAAATTTATCAAAATATTCTTGATTACTTCTAATTTTTTACTACTTGTTGACTTCATACTAATTTAAATGATATTTCTATACATCATAACCAGATACAATTCTGGAAATATTAAAAAGCAATTTGATACAAAAATGATTTTCTCCCTCAAAAACAACAAAAAATTATTTCTGATTTATTTAAAATCGTAAAATATCTTGGTTATAATATTCGTGAAGTTTGAGGTGAAATCACAAAAAGTAGTAATACTGGATTTGGCACATTCAAGTTATCTCAAAATTATACTGACATTATTTTTAATCTCTGAAAAAATATTAATGTCCTGTTCAAAGAAAAGCAAACTCACAAAGAGTGATCTATGATAAGATTATATTCAAAGATGATTGAGAAAATCTGGAAGATTGCTATCAATCATAAGAAAAGGATAATAATCAGTGATATCACCGTTAGAAATTTTTATAAAAAATTGACTAAAAATCTAAAAGAAAATACATTGAATTCATTAAAATTATGGATATCAAAACAGAATAGAGAGATAGATATTGAACTAAAAAATGATGATAAAGAAAAAATAAATCATAATAGATAGTGTGTGATAGAAAAATGAATCACTATTTTTACTATGTAAAAGATTTAGAATCTGGTAGGTATTTATGCTTTATTCCTCTCTTTAAATATCTCTATCTTATATCCTTATTTATATAGACTGATCTTTATAATTTAACATAAAAAATATTATTTTTGTAATAACATGATATATATTAATAAAGAAAGGTGAAAAAATATCTGAAGTTAACTTATATTTTTATTGATTCTTATTGCTTTAAGCTTTTATTGTTACTATTGAGATTGAATTTTGATATTTATTTATATAACAATTAAGACGATAAGTTTTTTCATCACAATATTCATTACTATTTCAAAAACTTTCTATATAATTTCTTATATTTTCTTTTTTATATTTTTATTACATGAAAAGTAAGATACTAATCTATTAAAATCAAAGTAATTATTTTTAAAGCTATGTTTTAGAGTTAAATAAGAAAATCACTCTAATATTATAATAATAATATGTTGTTACCTTTCTTCTAGATCTTTAGATAAAACAAAAATTGGAAATTGTCATTTAAATAATGTGAATTAAACATTTACCTGCAGTACAAATAAAAATTTTTTCTCAATATCCTTTTCAATTTGTGAGAATTCAGAAATTTCAGACTTTATTCAGGAATCTCTTCTGTATATGCTCTATATAAGCTCAAATGAACTTTATCAATCAAAGAACTTGGTACTTTAATCAATTTAGCATATCAATCTAAATATTCAAAAATTAAGACTTTATTTATATTATTATTTTATATGATTGCAAATTCAAATTAAGTATAAGTTGTCTTTGTTTCACTTAAACACTGTGCATATTTCAAAATAATAATTAAAAAAAATAAATATTGTTAATTAATAATCACCAAAGACAGTCACATAGTGACTATACCTGGATAACTTTACGATTTATTCTGTTATTTCAATTTTACACTTTTCATATATAATAAAATAGGATCCAGCTTCATATCTACCTTTTACATTTTTTCTATCTTTATGATCTAGTTTACATACTGGACATAATGAACTTTTAATAATTTCATAATGATCAAATTTTTCAGAAATAAATATTTTATATAGATTAGAATATCACAACAATATCTTATTACAAAAGTAAACATGATCATGAGTTGGATTGGATGATGCACTTGTCTCGGTTGATTCCTCTGAAATCATTTCTGATGATTTTTCTGGTGATAACTTCTCAGAAAATGCACTTATCTCAGTTTCTGCTAAAGTACTTACAATTTCGGTTATATGCTTTTGGTGATGGGCCATCGTCAAAATTTTGCTCATGTGATTTTCTATATTAGACTCATTATAATCAGAAATATTATCAATAATCTTCTGGATTTGATCATTTGTCAATTCTGAAATAGAATTTGCACTATATGCTTTAAGATACTTAATTTTATCAATGCCTATTTTTTTGAATAATTTATAAGTTTTTATAGCCCTTTGGATTTTTTTACACAAAGTTTTACGTGAGACGTGTGCATCAAAAAGTCGAAAATAGATATGACTTGTCACTAGCTCCGCTATTCATTTCCGTTTATGTATTTTATTATATATATAAGTTTATAATGTAACTGGCACCTATGTGCTTTATATTTTATTTGTAACAATAAAGCAAATGTACATATTTTTTCTGAATTTATTTTTTTTTCTTGGCAAAAGTGATCAGCGTTACAATTTGTAACGCGCACGTAGTTTTTATTTAGTATATGCACAAGACACCCATTTCTGGAGAATCATAGAGAAATGATCTAAATTTGAATTATATATGTGACTATTTGAAATTAATAGACTAACGCTTGTAATTCATAGATTTTCATTTTGAATCTCTTCACATTCCCATGCAGAAATCGAATCTGGCAGCCAAATCCAATCACGAATTCTTGGTACAATTACGCCATCGGCCGATTCAGATAACCTTAATTTATTAATTACCCCCGTTTGAATTTCGAGCTCGCTCTGAAAATTAAGTATGAATGTTATATTGAAATTGTGCAATATCCAATGAATGTATTCAGCATACCTACCACAAGAATATAAAGGAATTCAAAGACTGCTAAATAATCCGCCACATCAATGAATTCGAATGGGAGGGTTGCAGATTTGATCTGAGAAATTTTGTAAACATGCTTATTTATTAAGCATAATTTACTGAGCGTTAACCGGTCGCCTAACAAGTATTTCTATGTAAGATTTATGTTTTAAAATAGTTAATGAATGACAAATAAATTACCGATGCCCTGAATCATGAACGTGTATAACTGCTTCGATTCTTCGACACTTTTATCCAAATAATTTCGTAATAGGGAAACAAGACCGAATACAGCTTCTTTCAGAAGCTTTTCTGAATCTTCTTTTAATTTTTTTTGATCTGTATTTTCGGGCCCACCCAATATTTCGATAAAAACAACCTCCTTTTTATTCGAATTCCGTACTCCAAGACCATCAGCCTGGTATATAGTTAAATAATACTGGGGGAATATCTTCTTCACTTCCCTCATACAATCCAATTCAACTTCGATCCAATGAAATTTGTATTCATTATATACCGATTGAATTGATTTGAACAGGGGAACGATCCTTTCGACAATATACGTACGCTCACCAATATCTCTTTTTAAAGGACCCTTCATTGTCATAAAATAACTAATCGAATCATTATAAAATAACATGCATATCAGTAATATTATGATGTCAAAAAAATATGGATTCGTGAGTAAAACAATACACATACAAATCATAAAGGACAAACTCGCAAATTTGACGAAATCACAATCTTTTGGACTTGCTTCTGAGCTTAAAGGAGTCATGGTAGATTTTACAAATTCCTCTTTCGGTGACTAGAGTAAAAAAATTTTAATATATACATTTTACTATCTAAAAAGAAATTTATGATAACTTACCGTTAATGCCATTATGAGCCAATTACGAATTATACCAGAGATTTCTTCCGAAGTATGATTGTCTTTTATGATCATTCCTTCATCACTTACATCTATCTTTATATGATTTGGTAGATAGGTAACGGATTCCTTAAAAAGCATCAACTTTTGAGGAGTAATCTGTATATTATTGACATTAGGCCTTGGCGGTGGAGTCCCAGGGGTTTGGATGATAGGATTTGTAAATAAATATTTGGTAAGCAACAAATCAAACCTCAGCATTATCAATCGACGTTTCATTCTCAATTTGTTGCCAAAATATGTGAACGTCCTCAAATTTCGTTCGAATGTCTCTGATGCAGTTATAGAGGAAATTAATATTGATATATGTTATAAAGGAAACCATTACAATCATAAAATAGTGTAGACAGATCACAACGGGAAACCACCATAAGGCAGGTTGAACCCCCTGCCGTAGTTGTGCGAGTATGTACCCCTTCTCAGGACTGCAAATGAGACTCCTACTTCCACAATAATTGCGAAACATGACGGGAAACCACCATAAAGCGGGTTGAACCCCCCGCCGTAGCCATGGAAGTATGTTACCCCTTCTCGGGACTTCAGTAGCAAGCCTCACACCTGTCTACAACTCGTATATCAAAGGTAGAGAAAATAGACACTTGCCTCGAAAGATTTTTGCAAACGGACAGCGTTCTCTTTGACTTGAGGTGTTCCATCTTTCACCAGTGACTTCAAACAACGCCAGAGATTGCCGGACTCATCTCGAAAAGATCGGGTAAAATCATCTTGCTTCTGGCGGTACCTGTAAAAGTCTAGGAACCGAAACTTTTCAGGTGAAGTTTTTTTAAAATATTCCATGGTGAACGCGTATCAATGAATGATAGCGCGTATCACGTGATAATCAGACATGCAATAAACCAGACCAATATTTTTTTATACGTGATTAAACTTTTGAATAATTAATTTTATATAAAACAATGGCAAGCACAAAATCCCCAATCGATACATTGAAAGAGTTAAATCTTAAGCTCGTTCTTCAAATCGATGAACTTAGAAAGGAGAATGCTGAAGTCAAGGCTAAGAACACAAGATTGAAACAGGCTATAGAAGAAAATGCAGTGCTTAAGATCCGGTTCGAAGAGCTAGAAAAGAAACATAAAACAGATACTGCCAAGCTTAACTGCCGAGAATGCTGAGCTTATAGATAGAGTCACAAAATTGGAACAGAAGCAGACCCAGGTTATCACTAATGACCTAGAGACGTCTTCTACAAAAGATATTTTGCAGTCTACGGCTTGTTCAGAATTATCAGTAAATACCCAGATCCGGGCACAAATTCCTATTTCTTCCAAAATAATTGATAAGTCTAAAGGGTCATTATCCATTCAATTACCTATCGAGGGCCAGTCTGACAAGGAGAGAGACATTAATCCTGATCCCTTTCCCAAACTAGAACATAGTTTGACAAGACCTGAATCGTTAGCAGAATCTGAAACATTCGAATCTTCTTTATCACAGGATATTATTAATAACGATTCAGTTGAGATTCTTGAATTTGTGGAAAAAGTACATAAAGAAAATATTAGTAATATAGTAAGGGAGAGAAATAGAAAAAAGAAACTTCAGAGTCAAGGATCAATGCAAAATACATCTTCCTCTTCTGATATACAAAATGAGGTAAATCCTATTATCGATATCCATGAGCATACCCATTCAGAATCAATGCCTACTGATCAAGCACAAAATACTGGAATCAAAAATCCATATTATAAAAGAGTAGAACAAGACTTAAGACACAAGTTGTTTATGTATATTAAAGGAAATAATAATAAAATTAGTGATGTATTTGATATACAAATTCCTGAATTCTTGTTAGAAGTAATTATAATGGGATCTAACAAAATTACAACACAAAATATAGCCAATTTATTTATGATAGCAATGAAAGTTAGACAAAAAAATATTTTGTGCTGGTATTGTTACTATAAAGCATATGAGGATCGAATTGAAGATATTAAGTGTATAAATAAAATTGATGATCAATCAGCAAGAACATTGGTATACAATGAGATAAAAACACTTTTTCCAGATATTACTGATGTAAATTTGCGTCAAAGAACATTTAGAGTGAAAAAAATTTATACGTTACTTATGGAAATAGGAATAGAAAAAATTCAAGCAATAATACGTAGTGCAAGTGCAATTTCGAGTTTGATCGACAACCAGATTCAAAATATTATAAAATATTTTCCTAAAAATTCTATTAATATAGATGCTAGATGTCAAAAAATGATCAGTATTACAAATTGTAACGCACACATGACTAAAAGAAAATTATCAGAAATTGTAAATAAGAAAATCAAGAAAACTTTACCAGAAACGAAGGTAAGTACTATAATTATTTTCTCTATCTTATCATCTCATATCTCTAATTCAGAAAATAATATAAATAAAGATGTTAAATCTCTATCTGATGATTTATTAGATTCTAATTCAGAATTCTTTGATAATAATGAGAAGAATATGGATAATACTGATAATCATGATAAATATGATAATGAAACAAATTTGAAAGATTCAACTAAGGTAAATATTACATGTAACTGTACCTATTTCCATAATAAAATAGCAGAACAATAGCCTGATTTATATTGCCCTGTAAAAAAAAATAAAAGACAAAATCAGGAAAAAATCTGGTTTTTTATTTCCGGAAAATTACAAGTTTTGTTAACAAATTTCCGGATTAAAATTTGATAAAAATCTGATTAAAAATCTGGAAACTTTGGAACGCGATATCTCGCAAACCACGAAACCAATCCGGAAGAAAATACCACCATTCAATTCGTCTAGTCTTGGCGAATTGAATAATGGTATTTTCGTCTGGATTGGATCCGTGGTTCGCGAGATATCACGTTCCAAAGTTACTGGATCAATTTTTTTGATTTTTTTATTTAAAATTAAAATAAATGCATTATTTTCAAACACACTATCATTAAATTTGCCTAGTTTTGGTGAATTTAATGGTAGTAATTTTTACAAATATGGTTTGGTAATT